TAAGATGCAAAATTTTTATTTTGTTTTCACTTTGTAAATCTATACCTAAATAAATCTTTGAATAGTATGTTCGTTTTTTTTTATATTTTGATGAAAGTATCACGTTGACAGCATTTTTAGAGTTTTTATTAGTGAACATTTTATTTTGACATTTTCAATGTAAAAAATCGGACTAGACCGAATCAGAACGGTTCGATTCCACAGTTAGTTATGGAATCAATGGTTCCATTTCTAAAATTTTCATTGGCATTCGGTTCAGTTCGGTTTCCTTTGGAACTAGACCAAATCGGACCGCACCCACTCCTACACAAAAGAAGAACTAGATGATTGTGATTTATCAATTAATTAATTTAACAAGCGTTAGATAAATTAAATAATTGGAGTGCTTATTCATAGGCTCGAATTAATTAATTGAATTAATTAATTCACGTACCAGATTTAATTAAGTGGAAATTACAGAATTTCAGATCTTTAAAGATCCCAATTCAAAAATCAAGTTCAAAGTTTGATTATTCACATGTCGGGTTTAATAAATTAAATTCACCCAATTCAAATTTCAAACCCTAATCTCTTCACCCATCCATTACAAGACTTTTTCATCCTCTCTCTCACTGCTCCATGACGGTGAGTAAATAAACTTTGTGATCGGTGATGAAGGAAGCCCGACAGCATGGGGAGGCACCGGCACCGGCATGGGAGGTGACACAGCAGCTCGCGACGTGCAATTCCTTACTTTTTTTTTTTTTTGATAACCCAGGTGTCCCAGCTTAGCCGGACTAAATCCTGGACCTCTAGCCCCTGGCCCCTTAGTGACTAGTGGAGGTAAATCGCAGGTTGTGCCCTTGTTGGTTCCCAGGTTCCCACATGGCTTTTACTCCTTCCCCAAAAGGGACCCTCCTCCATGGTTATTACATCACCAAGCTGCTCCAACCCTTCCTCTGGTTATTACATCACTTGGCTGCTCCAACCAGGAATCGAACTCCCCACACTTGGTTCCAGAGCCCCCCAATGTGATTGTTCCGCCAACTTGGATGTGCCCTGGGGGGCGCAATTCCTTACTCTTTTCGATCTACAGGAGGTAGTTTTAGACCATCTCCACCGTCTCTCTCTTCGATGCCAACTGCATCGAAGTCGCAATCGGCGCTTCGCGTGACTCCAGAGTCTGCGCCTCTGCTCGCGGATTTGTAGTTTCGTCGGTAAACACACAGTGATTCCTGGTCTCGCCGATCACAAATCACGATTATTCTTGGTCTCGCCAATGTTGGCGCCGTTGCATTTGCCTAGCTTCTGCGTGGATATGGTGACGATGATGGCATGGGAGGAGGTGAATCTGGTGTGGCGGGTTTGGGATTTTTGTTATATCGTGGCTCGTGGGTGGTGGTTTGCGGTGTGGTGTGGTGGTTGTTGTGTGGCTTGGTGATGGTGATGAACAGGGATGTGGTGGTTCTCGCGAAGACGTCGAGGGTGGAGGTAACGGATTTGGGGGTTTTTTTTTTGTTGGATGGTGGTTGTGGTACAGTGCAGTGTAGTGCAATGTGGTGATGTCTGGTGGCGGCATTGGTGTAGCTCAGACGGCGATGGTGGTGGTTTTTTGATGTGTTTGGTGGTGGCGATGGATCTGGTAGTGACTATTTTGTTGTTGGTGGTGTCGTGGTGTTGGTGTTGGTGGCGACGAGGTGAGGGTGGTTGCAAGAGATGGTGGTAGCAGTGGAGTTAGTGGTGGTGACTGACTATTTGACCTGTAACTTTAAAATTCGATCATTTGTGATCAAAAAAAGTAATACGTGACTATCAAATTTAAAAATATGTGACCTATGACCTATAACTTTTCGATCCGTGACCTCGACATAATCTGTGACCTATCAAAATTGTAATTTGTGACTTCGAAAAAATCTGTGACCAATTAATTTGATGATATGTGACCCGTAAATAAATTTGTGACCTATAGTTGTGAATCTGTGACCATTAATCGTATAACTGTAACTTTGTTATTATTATTTAATAAGTATTTTTAATTAATTAGTGAAAGCCTGATTATTGCATTAATGAAACTTGTAAATTGATTTTGAATTATGCATACTTAACACCTGATTTTGAACAAAGAGAAATTAACTATAACCCATTTCAAAACAAAGAGACAAGGTTTAAAAATTTCAAAAATTAGAAATTATTAAATTTTAATCATGAAATAACTAATTAAAAATATATTTTATTAATTATATATTAAAGTCACAATTTTATGGAATTTGATCACAAATTATCAAATTAATTGGTCACAAATTATTTTTCGATTACAAAGCAAAAATTTTGTTATTCACAAATTATTTCACAGCTATAATTTTTTTTTAAAAAAAAATTATAGGTCATAATTTATTCATCGGTTGCATTAAAAAATTGTATAGATTATAATTTATTTATTGGTCACAAATCTCAAAGTTTATAAATCACAATTCAAAATTTTAGGTCACATATTATTTATTTATTATAATTTTATAGGACACATGTTATTTTTCGGTCACAAAATATCCAATTTATTTGTTACAATCTTAAATAATTGGTCACAAACACTTTTAATCCCACCACCTACCCTAGGCAACTCCATCCCACCATGGCACCAATCGAATTCAGCTCCATCTCACTACCATCGTTAAGCCACAATCACCATCACATCACCACCACCACCACCTCCAACAAACTACCATTGTCAACTTCAAAACAACGACCTCACAACTATAACCACCAGCAAAACCATAGTCGCCGCCGCCACCACGAGGATCTAACAACGCTCGCCAAAACACCAGATTGTAGGCACACCAATTGCTGTCCAAACACCAACAATATCATCGTCCAAAAATCAACAAAACTGTTGCCCAACCACCAATAAAACTACCACCACTTCACCATCACAACCACCGCCATCATTGCCTCCAACAAAATCATACCCCAAAAAAACCAACAAATCAGATCGACAAACGCCATCACCTCGCTATCAACATAATAGAACGTCACTGGCTGTGTGCAATCGCTCTCACATCAAATCCAAAAACCAAAACGCTTGGCGACTTCAATCGGCTCTACTTCAACTACCTCTGGCTGCTTCTCAAGCTGTCTTCTTCTTCTTCCTCCTCATTGATTGTTTTTGCTTGGCCTTGCATTTTCCCATCTTCGACGTCAATGCCATGGTCAAAGGCTCAATGGTAGAAAATTGAAGTAGATCTACGAACGACAGTGTCGCTTCTCACGACCCCGTGTGGTGCTACGTGTCAACTCTTTTTTCCCTTCGGTGACTTTAAATCAGAGATGTTGACCTATCGAAAGTGTCTTAAGCTTAATGCCAATAGTGCTTTAGTGGTGGCCCAGTAGAGAGAGAAGAGAATAGAAATATAGAGAGGGAATGAAGAGATTTAGAGAGAAGGAAAAGTTAAAAATGATTAGTTTGAAAATTTTGGTAGGATGAAATGACGTAGGGGTAGGGTGTATAGATTAATTTAGTTTTATAATATTATTTTTAAATAAAATATGAAATTATCATCAGATTTTGGTATAAAGAAACTTTAAATTTGATTTTTGAAATTGAAATTTAAAAATTCTGGTTCTATGTAATTTCCACATCGGAATTTGAAAATAAAGGGGTTATCCATGGATGATATGGGTCCATATGTTAATTGGGCTATATAGGCCCATTCACAAGGGTGTCCATTCTTAAAAATGGTCAAAGAGTATGAAGTCCATAGTCCATTCCATGGCAAGTCCAGTTCTATTTCTATTTCAGTATTTCATGCGTTAATAGCTTAACTTTTAAGGATTTTAAAAAATAAAATATAAAAACTTAAAGTGGTTGCACCAAACATAAAGAAAATATGGAAAAAAAAATAAATAAAAAACTCATTCTTCGATTCGAACAGGAACTTAATCAAATATATACATTTTAGGTAATCTCATTCTTAGATTTGAACAACATTTGTGTCAATTGTACATACTAATGAGTATTATTGACCTCAAAAAGTGCACATTCGACGTGGTTAGTAAATCTCAAGACCTCACACATTTACGCAAGATATATTTCTACACACTTAGACAAACAGTTAGCCATACGTTGCCTCCTCGAGGGTGGAGTTTGCCGTGTACATTTCAATGGTCAAGTCAGATGGAAAAGTAGATATACGAGTGTGACAGGACTTTAGACATGAGCCCCCATGTAAAAAGAGGTGGGTTTTGGGGAGTAAAGAATAAAATAATGAAATGACAAAGTTATAGCTTGAAAGTTTAAACTTGCATTACCATTGAATGACATCGAGTGTGAGCTTTTATAGTGGAGGATGACGAGCCAGGACCATCAAATGAAAAGACACGTATCCTTATCTGTGCGGCTGAGGCCTCTTATCTTTGACATCAATCATTCACAAGGCTTAAATGCTAATACCACTTTAGCATCCATAATGTCTAGTTTGCGGTTGTGGACTTGATTGGATAGGTTAACAGTGGTGACAATGACAATGAATTATCACATCAAAAAGATTGCTTTGGAGATCTTGTGCCGAGCTCCTCATGGAGGCTCTTACTCGCGAAGGTTCAATGATATTTGATGAGGTTGGCGGATACGTCGGTTCGATCACTAATATAGGCCCCACCTTTGGTCGTCACATGGGGATATTTGGGTATAACAAGTGATAATACATGTACGCGAAAAATTATAGACTAATTTATAGATGAAACAATTTCATTAAATTTTGGACAAAACACAAAATTAAACCGACTCTCTGTCACATATGCACTTGTTCACTATTTTATAAAAAAATTTCTTGTACAAGTAGCATTTTTGTACTAATATGGAGGTCGGCCTCGTTCAATGTTGTACCTAAATAATGACCATTTTGTAAAGATCAATTTTTAAGAGGTTTCGAAATTGTATCCCTTTGATATTTTCCAATGTTTAACGTATGTGCTAGACGAAAGTCGCTAAACGTGTCAAAATCGTTTGAAGTAGGATATGCGATTTCAGACTAATGCCATAAGGACCGTCGAGCCAAGCCGTTGACATTCAAGATCAAGAGAGAGATGGGGGCCGTGACGACAGCGTTGATAGCAATTGCAGGGGTGGTTCTGGGATGGATTACTATAGAAGTAGCCTGCAAGCCCTGTCTCGAAAAGGGCCGGGAAACCATTGATCGCGACCTCAACCCAGATTACGACCCTGATGCTGCTGCTGATCGTACAATTTATGCCCCTTTAAATCCAGATCCGCCTACCAATTCTGAGCCGTCTGATGATGCCACTTCCTCTTCTACTATCACAAAGGCTGTTTGATTTTTCTTAAATTGGGGCTCTCTACTGTTGGGGTACGCTATAACTTTGACGTTACGTTTATGTTTAGTTATCTTGTTACTCTTTTATCGAAATGCTTTGTTTTTTCTGGAAAATGGGATGAGAGTGAAGGGAAAATGAAGAATTTCTGGGGATGTATATGTTATTATGTATGTGTTTAGTGGTAATGTTATAGCTTCAAAACTGTTATTTTGCTAATGCCTAAAAGAATGTAAGTTGTGCGAATTTTATACGTTATCTTTAATATATGCTGTTTTAACTGTGTGCTCATAGCTGATTGATTTTTTCATGTGGAATTCAAGGATTGGATACAGCGAATGTGCCAATGGGTATCATTTTTGTATTTATGTATGTTTCATTTAATTTATTTCGATTATTGACTTGATTTTTATGCTTCTGTAGGTCATGTATAACTAAAGCTTGTGAAATTGTTTGTATGGTTATGCATTGTGTTTTTCATGGTCGAGATTTGTTCTCTTTGTTTTCAGATTAGTTATACTTAGAGGTGTGAAGCAAACTCTGCAACCTACGTTTGAATCATTCCTATTGAGACTTGAATAATTAGGAGATGTTTTTTTTTTTCCCCTCTCAATATCATACTTTTTTTTGTATATGTGAAAATGAGAATTTATAGTGGATGTCTGGGCATATGTGTTACTTTAATGAGAATGGCTTAGTATTTTTTTTATATGTAGGTGTTTTTGAATCATGTTAACAATATCAGAGAAGTCAAGAAAGAGCTACTCTGTAATAGCTGAGTCAAAACGTCAGACCCTCCAAAAGAAATATCTTTTTATTTTGTAGGCCCGACCTCAATTTAGGCCAAGCTGAAGAAGACGAGATTGAAAGAAATTTCTGATTCTTTAATATTAAAATCATTGATTACAATAGGTATATATACACATGACGAGTAATAGGAAAAGGAAACTAATCTTCTAAAATAGGAATAAAACTATTCTACCTAAAAAACTAAAAAATTATAATTACTAATTGATTATAATTACTATATCTTGTCTTCTTTCCATACTTGGACTCGGACCTTTTCTACACTCCCCCTCAAGTTGAACTGTAGATGTTGATCATGTTCAACTTGCTAATAAGGTCGTCAAATGTTGGTCTGGATAACCCTTTTGTAAATAAATCTGCGGTTTGTTCTTTTGTAGGAATGTATGTCATACAAATAATTCCATTGTCCACCTTTTCTTTGATAAAATGTCTGTCCACTTCCACATGTTTTGTTCTATCGTGCTGTATTGGATTGAGAGAGATGTTAATAGCTGCTTTATTATTATAATAGAGTTTGATTGGAAACTTGACTCCGACTTTTAGTTCCTCCAAGAGTTTCTTTATCCAAAGTCCTTCACATATTCCTTGTGCAACGGCTCTAAATTCAGCTTCAGCACTGCTTCTGGCTACCACATTTTGTTTTTTACTTCTCCAAGTTGTCATATTTCCCCACACAAATGTGCAATAGCCAGTAGTTGATTTTCTGTCTTCTATGGATCCAGCCCAATCGGCATCTGTGAATATTTCTACTCCTTTCTTTTGATGTTTTCCAAAGAACAGACCTTTTCCAGAAGTTCCTTTTAGATATTTGAGAATTTTATATACTGCTTCCAGGTGAGCCTCTTTAGGAGAGTGCATATGCTGACTGACCATACTGACGGCGAAGGCAATGTCGGGTCTAGTGTGTGAGAGGTAGATCAATTTACCGACTAATCTTTGATACCTGTCTGTTTCCACGGGTTTTCCAGTGTCCTTTATCACTTTTCCTGCCTCAATAAGTGTATCACTTGGTTTGCATCCTAACATACCGGTTTCGGTTAGCAGATCAAGAATATATTTTTGTTGGGAAACACTGATACCTGTTTTTGATCTTGCAATTTCCATTCCTAGGAAATATTGCATATGTCCAAGGTCTTTTACCTCAAATTCAGTTGCTAGGCATTGCTTTAATCTTTCTATTTCGGCTATGTTGTCCCCTGTCAAAATGATATCATCCACATAAACAATTAAGATAGTCTTTGCTCCATTTCCTGATTGATGGTAAAACATGGTGTGATCCGATTGTCCTTGCTGATATCCTTGAATTCTCAGTACCTTTGCAAATCTATCAAACTACGCTTTAGGTGACTGTTTTAGTCCATATAAGGACTTCTTGAGTTTACACACTTGATTTTCCTCATTTAACCTGTTGAAACCTGGTGGTATTGTCATGAAAATTTCTTCTTCTAGTTCCCCATTGAGAAACGCATTCTTAATGTCCAACTGTTGAAGTGGCCAGTCTAAATTCACTGCTAATGACAAGAGAACTCGGATTGTGTTTAATTTTGCCACTGGTGCAAATGTTTCTGTGTAGTCAATGCCATAGGTTTGAGTATACCCTTTGGCAACTAAACGAGCTTTGTAACGTTCTATTGTCCCGTCTGCCTTGTACTTCACACTGAATACCCATTTGCAGCCGATAGGTTTCTTGCCTTTTGGCAGGTTTACCACTTCCCACGTTTCTTTTTTCTTTAAAGCTTTTATTTCCTCCATTACTGCCTCTCTCCATTTGGGTGACTCCAGGGCTTCCTGAATATTTCTTGGAATTTCTGTTTTGTCAAGATTAGTCATAAAGGCACGAAATTTTGTAGATAGAGCACTATAAGACATAAATTTTGAAATAGGATGTAAAGTACATGATTTGGTTGGTTTTCTGAGAGCAATAGGTAGATCATCACTTGGATTAGTGAAAGGATCTTTATCAGTTCCTATCACCGGTTCCGACTCTTTTGGTGCTTCAGTTGCGAGGGTTTCATTATACTTTGATATAGGCCTTCGTGAGTAAACTAGTATCTCCTTTTCACTTTGCTTTTCTCCATCTCCCCCTGAATTCAAGTTTTCTTTTGTATATGGCACACTAGGAGGATTAGTATGTGTGAGGTCAGAAGGGGTGAGATCAAAGTCTAAGAATTCATGATTGGAGAGCCGATCTTCGTTTAAATTTCCCTCCCGAAGAGAAGGCTTCGAGAAGTAAGGTGTGGTTTCAAAAAAAGTGACATCGAGACTCACGAGAGCCCGTTTCCCCAGAGGATCATAACATTTATAACCTTTTTGAGAGGGAGAGTACCCAATAAATGCGCATTTAATGGCACGTGGTTCAAGTTTATTGTGGTGTTGGGAGTGAATGTGTACAAATGCAATACAACCAAACACTTTTAAGGGTAGGTTTGAATTGAGATGGGATGTTGGGAAGCGTTTTTGGAGTTTTTTTAAAGGTGAGTCGAAAGAGAGTGTCCGAATGGGCAATCGATTTATTAGATAGATAGAAGTTAGAATTGCATCTCCCTAGAATGTTTTTGGCATATACATTGTAAACATTAAGGCACGAGCTACTTCTAGTATGTGCCTGTTTTTTCGTTAAGCAACCCCATTTTGTTGTGGGGTATGGACGCATGAACTTTGGTGGACTATTCCATATTTTTTTAAATAGTCTTGCAAAGTAGCATTGAAATATTCTGTGTCATTGTCAGTGCGAAGAATTTGAATTTGTGTTAGAAATTGTGTCAGGATCATGGAATGAAAGTTCATAAATACTGATCGAACATCGGTTTTTTCTTTTAGCAGATAAACCCAACATACTCGAGTGTGATTGTCGATAAATGTGACAAACCACTTTGTTTGGGTACGGGAAGGTCCCCATACATCACTGTGAATCATAGCAAATGGTTTGGATGGTTTGTATATTGATTTTGGAAAAGTAGTACGCTGATGTTTTGCAAATTCACAATTTTCGCATTGAAACTCAATAGGTGTTTTATTCATGAAAATTGAAGGACAAACACGTTTTAAATATTGTAAGCTAGGATGACCTATTCTATTGTGCCATAACAATATTTCACTAGCTTTAAAGGTAGATGTAGAATTACATTGTGAAAGTTGACCTCGTGAACTCACATTAGCTTCCTCGAAGTAGTATAACCCCTCGCATTCTTTAGCACTGTCAATCGTCTTCCCCGATGAAAGGTCCTGAAAGACACAATAAGATGGAAAGAAATTAGCAGAGCAGTTGGAATTTTTTGTTACTTGACTGACAGATAATAAGTTACAAGATAAATTTGGGACATGGAGAACAAAATCCAATGTTAAGGACTCAGATATTCGAATACTCCCTTTTTCTGCAACAGATGAAAGCGAGCCATCTGCAATTTTGACTCGGATGTTGCCAGCACAAGTTGAGTATGAATTGAATAGATGATATGAATCCGTCATATGATCTGATGCTCCGGAGTCAATAATCCAAGCATTTTTATATTTCGAAGTATTTAAGGCTCTAGGAAAGATACCTTTGTGGGCTAGTGAGCTAGAGGGGTCTTTAGGAGAAGAAGATTGACCGGAGGTTTGAAAGCTTGCAAATAGTTGATAGAGTTGTTCCAATTGCTCTGAATTAAACATATTGCTTGTAGTTGAATTATTTTTCGTTTCAACCTGATATCCCCGACTTCTCGAGTTTAGCTTTTGTCTCCAGTCATTTGGCTTCCCATTAATTTCCCAGCATGTATCTATTTTATGACCCGGCTTACGACAGTGCTCGCACCAAGGGCGGCCCCGTTGTTTTTGGGTTGACCCATTTATAATTCCTTTTGAAAAGCCCAAACCATCACTGCCATTAAGAAGCCCATTACCATGTTCAATTTCTGGCCCAAATTTTGGCCCGTTATTTTTATAATATCCCGGCCCAAAAGCTGTCGGTCTTGGAGGTCCATTTCTTCTTCCTGCTAGGGCCGAAACTTCTCCAGAAATTTCCCTCATCATCACCTGCCGGCGAGTCTCTTCGCGGCGAACTTCAGCAAACGCCTCTCGGGTGGAAGGTAGTGGGTGGCGTCCCAAAATTCGGCCTCGAACTTCGTCGAGTTCACGATTCAGGCCGGCAAGAAATTCATAGACCCTTTCGTTTTCTTGCTTCTTCTTGTACAAGGTGATGTCGTCGGGACACTTCCATTCTTCTTCACTGCAGAGGTCGAGGTCTTGCCAAAGGGATGTCATTTCCATGAAATATTCTGTAACATCTCGAGTCCCTTGTTTGGTCTGCCACAAGCGGGTTTTCAATTCAAAGATTTGGGAAGCATTTTCGGCGTCTGAGTAGGTGTCTTTTACGGCATCCCATACATCTTTCACTGTAGGAAGGAATAGATAAGTTTTCCCTATAGAGGGCTTCATCGAATTCACTAGCCAGGCAATGACCATGGAGTTTTCGGAGTGCCATCGTTGCTGCAGAGT